ATGGGATTTATATTTATGAAACATTTGGCCACAGAATCTCAAGGTTAAACCTTCTTGGGTGTGTGGTTAAAATAAAATAACAAATAAATACAAGAAAAAAAAAGAGAAAAGAAGTGCAGTTTCAAAAAATACTGAAATACTGCGTTTCTTTTAAACATCAAGGAGGGCCTTTGCAGTCTCAAAAACTGTGTATTCATAAACCAGATTTATATTCATGCATAAAATACACGTCTTGTTTTCTGCACTCGTGTGAACCCTTCATTGGAAGTTCAGATTATTCCCAGAATGAACACCGACATCCATGTTCTTCCTTCTTTCAGGTTTTCTTTCCCTTTTTACTCTAAGTAGCAGCAATTTATACGTAACGTCACATTGTCTTTATTTCATCCGTTGCTTACTACAACCAAAGCAATTATACTTTTAAAAGTCTGCATTTTGCGTAAAGCTGTTTAAGGGAATCTTGCTCGAAATATCCTGAATTTAATGTCATCACATTACACAAAACATTTGAGCTTTTTCTGTGCCAGTTGTTTCAGGAAGCAGCGCACTTCCCCTGCACTATACATTTCCAAAGTGATGACTCACCTACCATTCACTAATCTACCACTAATCAGTCTTAATCAGATTAGACATTTTAAATCAATTTCTAGCTTACTAATTCAGTCCAAAGCTTTCAGTTTCTAGGAATTTAAATGCCTTTGATTTAACCATACAAAGTTCTGGGACCCAGTACTGGCAAGAACTTTTGCTATTGACTTGAAAAGAACCAGACCTGGATCCTCTGCCGGCGCCTAAAGCGTTGGGACCCCTGGTGCCCTGGTGGGATGGGTTGTGGAAACAAACACGTGCCAGCCAAAAGAAGGTGGGTGTTTTCCATTTTCTAGTAACCCCACTATTCTGTCTCTAGCCCAGCCATTGATTTTACTCCCAAGCCCCCCATGAAATCAAACCCTTCCCTGTGAAATGGCATGCCCTTGGCACTGCTCTCCCACCCTGCAAACAGCAGTTTTCCCAAGAGATGCATCACTGTGCAAGTGAAACAGAGACTTACATTTTTTTTCCCCTCTAGACTTTTTTTCTGATGAACACGGTCCCGACTTAACTTTGCTCTGAGGAAACACCTCCTTATCTTTGCCCTGAAAGGCTTCCATTAAATACCAAACCCTTCAACTCTTCCTGCACCCTCAGCTGTGATGTATCACCCTTGTCCCCCCTGCAGCTGTGGGGGGGGACAGCAGAGAACCTCAGCCACCTGAAAGCAATAAAGCCAGACTAAACCACAGAAACCTTGTTTAATTACTCAATTTCAGAACGCAGACAGAAAAAAAAGCAGTTCTTTCATAAACTGGCCAGAGCCAATGACCAAAGCAGCCCATTGCTGGCAGGGAGGCACAATCCCTCCTTCTCTGCTCCCGGGGCTGGTCGGTGCAGGGGGGGAAGAGCAGCCAGACCCACGGGGCTCTTGCCGTGGGGCTCAGGCCAGGTATTTGTCTTTGGAGAGAACAGAGTGAACCAATTGCTGGCTCATCGCCAGGTGCCTCGCTGAACTCCTCGCAAAAGGAGTGTCTTCCACAGCCTCCGGATCGGCTGGAGGCAAACTGGTTTTAAAAACATACATTTAGAGTTTACTGCAACTCTGGTGGCTGTACCAGAGCTGCATTTTCTATAGCCAGCATGTCCCAATTAGCTGCTTACCCTTCAAGTGCAATGTTTTCAGAAAAGGACAAACTAGTCTTAGGTGCTCGATGTGGGTTTCCTTGTTACAGAAACAGCTGGAGATGGGGAGATGGAGAACCCCCTGCGATGGGGCTCGATGTTGTAATCAACCCTGCCTCTTCCTACACAGGTATATATCTGTCCCTGTATCTATATATCTGTATCTCTGCCACTGCTTCTGTGCGCATCGACACATGTCGGGGGAGCTGACAGACCACAAAGCGCTGCCAAAGGCACAACAAGACAATGATTTCCCCCCCTCTGCTGTTCCCCTTTTAGCAGCCCTGTTTGAGAGGCAAGACAGACAGACCGAGCTGCGTGTTTGAGCTGCCGATGACAGGAGAAGCTCCCAAAATAACTGGGAACCCGAGTCCTCTATAAAAAGCCCAGGCAGGGAGCCGTCCCTGGGTGCCAAGGGGTGTGCTACCCTGCATAACCCCCACCGTTTGCCTCTGTACCTCCTGGGGGGAGGAAAGAGTTACCCTGGCCCTGCACGGCCCTCCTGGCTCACACTGGCCACAGGGACCGGGACACCAGGCTGTGGCCATGAACACGCTCCAGGTTGCCCAGCCAGCAGGGACCTGCCGTGTCCAGCCCGTTATTTACTGACTTGGGCAACGAGCTGCCCATGAAAGGCTCTGTATCTCACTACTGTTTGTTTGCTAAGCACACAACCTTAAATAATCCTCCCCGATGTTTCCCAAGTCGGGCAAAACAGGTATTTTAACACAACGGGAACAACATTTTTTATAGTGGCCAACAGTGCAAGGAGCTACTGAACAGTAGCAGGAGCAGGGGTAGGGATGCCCTGAGGCGGCTCCTTTTGTGCAGCTTCAAGCACGGAATAAAATCATTTCCCAGGTCTGAATTAATGCTGGGTGTGATGGGGCAGCCCCGGCTGCGGCTGGTGCTCCCACACAAGGCAGGAGCCCAGCTGCTGGCACAAAGGCCCATCAAACTCCTCTGGAGTTGCTTGGGTTTGATAATGGGGGAATAGAGGGGATTTGGCAAGTGCCAGCCAGAGGATGGGAAAGTATCTCCTGTCTTTGGAGGAGGCTGGTGGCCACCGAGAGATAAGGAGGAGGGAGAAGGGGCAGGGGAGGAAGAGGATGAGAGGCAGGGGAGTGAGGAAGGTCACTCTGGATAGCTGGTGCCAGGGAACAGGGCAGGACTTTCCAAAACCTTGTCCCCGCTGCCAGTTAGTGCTTCAGCCTTCATTTTCCAAAACCTTGTCCCTGCTGCCAGTTAGTGCTCCAGCCTTCATTTTCCAAAACCTTGTCCCCGCTGCCAGTTAGTGCTTCAGCCTTCATTTTCCAAAACCTTGTCCCTGCTGCCAGTTAGTGCTCCAGCCTTCATTTTCCAAAACCTTGTCCCCGCTGCCAGTTAGCACTCCAGCCTTCATCTGCCTGGCGCTCCCTGCCACGTACTGGTGGGGACGGCAGGAACTTCAGTGAGGGCAGGTCCAGGGTAAGGAACTGAGGTCTCACTGCCCTGTGAATACTCCCATTGTGAGCAGAGACAGCGTCCTGATCCCTGTGCCACACGTCCCTCAGCAGAATTCTTCCCTCTCCAGCCCTTTCATCGCTTTTTTTCCTCTCTGCACCCAAACGGAGGTGTCCTTGTCACCACCTGCCCTGCTTGTGCCCACGCGCTGTCTCCTAATGATCTCTCACACAGCACCAGAGCAGTTCATGTTCTCTGCTCACCAACCACAGGCAGAAAAATAACTTGCATTAGCCAGAAAACCCCTGTATCCTCTGTTCAGCCCTATGTACCCCCCCTGCTTCGCACAGAGCACAGGAGGGGCTGTCACATCCTTGGATCACCACGGCTGGGAAGTGAGAAGCCATCAGCACCAGTCAAATTACATGGCCAAAAGGACTTTTTCACTGAGCACAAGGACAGTTACATTCCAGGATGACAGATTCCTGGCCCTGGCAACATTATCTTTACAATTTAAGGCTCCAGCTCCTTTCCAACGAAGCTGAGAGCCTGTAATTTCCACTGGGTATTACTTTTGTTCCACTGGGTAAGATCTTTAGCCCTGACTTGGGGCAGCCCTGCCTTGACACGTGAAACAACGTTCACTTTCACATGGAAATCCCATGGAGCAAACCCCTGTTCGCTCCCCAGCTGCTCGGAAAGGCCAGCGTCTGAGCAAACCTGCTTTGGGTGAGGGGTCTGCGTGGCCACCCCCGTGAAACACTTGCTGTAAGGGGCAAGAACCCTGACAACAGAAAAAGTGCCGTAAGTAGGTGATGCAGTAAGGCAGTGGGCCTTAGGGGGGGGGAAGAAGGGGAAAAAAAGAGGAGGGGGGGAGAAGGAGGAGGGGAAAGGAAAAAAAGGGGAAAAAGGGGGAAAAAAGGGGAAAAGGAGGGGGAAAGGAGGGGGAAAGGAGGGAAAGAGGGATGGGAGGAACAGAAAGGTGGGGAAAAGGGGAGGAAAAGGGTCAGGGGAAAAGGAGAAAAGAAAAACAAGAAAAGATACGAATAAGAAAAACAAGAAAGGCAAACAAAAAAGTAAAAAAGAAAAAAACCAAACCAACAAAAAAGATAAAACAACAAAAAAGATAAAGAAAGAAGAAATAGAAAAAAAGTTGAGGAGAGGAGAGGAGGAGTGAAAAGGCGGGGGGGGAATAAAAGGCGGATAGAAAAAGGGACGCCCCCGCGGGTGTCGGTGGGGCGGCACGGTGGGGTGGCACAGCAGGACGCCCCGCAGCCCC